GGAAAACAACAGAAAGGAAAGCTCCATACGGTGACAACACAAGGAAGCGGAAGATTAGGGAGGCCATTGAGATCTTTGGGGGGAAAAATCTAATGAACAGGAGATTGGAAGAAGGTAGAGTTAGCGATAACTTTGCCTACTGCCTAAGCAAAATCGGAGAAAACAATAGAGCAAGACCAGAAAAAAGGATACGCTTGGAGCAAGGATCTGCCGCTAACCAGAGAAAAATGGCTTGCGAGGAGGAAAGGGGGGGCGGGGGTATTCGGCAATTAAACGAAGACGTTGTCAGTGGGTGATGACCATTTGAATAAACCAGTACAACTTTGGGGGCCTGGCAGTTAGGGTGCGGGGCCGACGGATAAGCAAACCGTCATAGAAATTAGGGTTCGGGCGCTAGAAATCCACTTGGGATGTCGCATGCGACCAGAGATAGGCGGGCAAATTCTGGCTCAGATAACATGTGTTTAGTCAAGGGGACGACCAGTGTAGTGAAGGCCTGATATCTACAAGCATGGCAATCAGAGCTTAAGCCCTTCGCTCAGTGAAGCGGTGGTGTATGTGTTTCTAGGGCCTGGAGAAATAGCGCCAGTGAGTGAAATGCCCACAGGGGCTGGGCCCGAGTGAAATCGGTCAACTAGAAAGATAAGCAACGGATCTACGAGACAATCATATAATCCGGATTGGAGGCCCGAGTGGGAGAAGCCCATCGAAAGAGAGGGGTCGGGGTAAATAGCAGGTGTGACGAGGCCACACTCGGCTTGCCACAAAAGGGCACACATTTTGATGATTGTACTGTAACAAGTGAAAAATTGTGATAGCGCGGCAGTGGGATAAGACAGTAGATAGATAGGCCAGGACAGAAAGAGGAGTGATAGTGTAACCGTTTCCAGCAGAACGGTTGTCGAGGCGCTGACTTCACTTGTTCGTATGTTGCTGTGGTGAATGGCAAGGCTCACTGATGATGCCGGCGAAACTCTTGAGAATGTATCAAGTCTACTGTCAGATGCTGGGAATCATGACAACTACTATGGCAGACGACTTCGGACGCGGTGCGTTCTACATGGTCTCCCTGAAAACAAGACCAAGTTGCGACAACGAGGTCAACCCACTTCTATCATTGTCCGTTAGTTTAAGCTTATGATGGTCAAACTCTTCAGCACTCTGATCTTCCTTATGTAGCTATGATGAAAAAATTGAGGATTATTCCCGCATATTAATTCTTTCTGTGTAGTCTCCTTATGAGTGTCCCGTTGGAGCGCATGACTTCAATATTCAGAAAGGGTAGCCGTTCATCCTCCTCGACCTCCATTGTGAATTTAATTCTTTCGTCAAGTTGGTTAATAAAATTGAGAAATTCCATGTCATCCAAGTATCGCATAAGCACTCTTGGTTGCAGTGGTGACTTCACGAATTCTCTTTCCAACTTGTCCATGTACACATTTGCCAAAAGAGGTGTATGGAAATTCCATCGGTAGTCCAAATATTCGCTCGTAACTACTGCCATTCAATATAAAATAGGTATTCCTTACGATCAGGTTTATAAGTCGTGTTAACTATTCCTTCCGTATCCGCTCTTCCTCTAGGATCCTACGGGGCAAGCGGAAGACTCTGAAAAGACCTATGGAAGGGGGATTGCGGAATAGAACGGCAGACTTATCAATATTCCCAGCACAAGGATGGAGGGGAATAAGAAAGCCAGTGTGGGTGAGGAGAATTCTCATGAAATCCACTATAAAGGGCATACCATACCATATTTAAGTAAGCATTGACATTGTGATAGTCAAAGGGTGATGCGAAGATATAGGATTGACGAATAGCCCAGAGTAGAAGGACAGATGCCACAATTGTTTAGCAAACAACTGGTCAAGGGTTCGGCTTCACTTGTCTCTTTGACGATGCCGGCAAACGTCTGGGAAAGTACCACGTCCACGGTCCGATTCTGGAAATTCTCATGTATACTTTTTGACTTCGGACTGGATGCGTTCCTCTACCAATATGACCACGTTCCGATAACAAAGTCAAACAATTTAAATAAATTGTTTATATTATATGTGTTAACCCTATTTAGTTTAAGGAAGTTAAGGTGGACCTGATACCCTACTTATGAACGAAAAATAAATTGCACGCATGCCTATATGAAAATAACCAAACAAAATTAAGTGATCTGCGTACACGACATGTATGAAGCATGAATTACGAGAGGACTGACCACAAGGTTCTTCTGTATTGCAGAAGGACTATCTGAGGAGGCCGAGCTCTTGGACCTGGCGACAGAGTCGGAACTGAATTGAGGATCGTTTTGATTGGAAGAAGACGCCTTGCAGATAAGGCGTGAAGACTCTAGCCAAGATGGTTGACTGGTTGATGACACGGAGAGAAAAGTCTGGTCATCAGAAGGAACAGAAGAGGGATCTGTCTGTGGGCCGCTCTGCACCTCAGCATAACTGGCATATGGTGAGGAAAATGAGACATGACTGACTAGAGTGTGGTGAGAATCTATTCCTGCTGGTCCGGGCGACTCATGAGACCGACTGAAAGCGCTTACTTCGAGGTCTGGTGAAGCACAGTCATAAGTCGCAAGATGTTCAGAATGAGTCATCAGTGATGGAAGTTTTGGCTGTGATACTCGAGACTCGCTCTTTTCGTCATCAGGAGACGAATTTGGACAAAATGGATCAAATGACGAATCACAAGGGATAACTTCTACCAAGCATGAAAAGTCATGTAAACATAATCCAATTTGAGAATTCAGGCCAGGTTGAGACGATTTCGAGGAAGATGCCCATGAATTGACTGGTTCAGACGGTCCGGGGAGTGAACTGCGCTGTATAGCCTGTTCATTTCGGCGTAGTCCCAAAGACGCCTCAGAGGCACATATTAGTTTGTTGCTTTCCAAATGAGGGGATTTGAGAGAGCTGGTTTCTAAATGCATGCCTGACAATGAGTCCGAAAGGTTCATTGATGTAGGGCGCGAATTACGCAGTCTATGCTGTCTATTTTGAGAAGATTGTAAACAGATAGAGGGCTTACAAGTGCCTTTCTGTGATAGTATCTTTCTTGAAAATTTGAATGACTTTGATTTAGCTCGCAACAGCAAGCCCCTAGTAATAGGCCCCGATCGGTATGGCGGGACAAGTATTGGTTCCGGCAAATGGGGTCGAAAAAATTCACGCTTTTTTGATTTTCTCTGAAGCTTGTAGACATTACTGTGAAGATGAGACTTGTGAGCAGGAGGAATAAAAAAAGGAAGTTAAGACTTAATTTTACAAAGTACCCAAGCGAAAGTGGGATATAATTACAAAGATGGGTCAATATTATATAAAAAATAAATTTTGATCAGAGGGGATACAGTGAAAAAGAATATTCTCTTACAATAAACTAGCTACGTAAGC